GTCTTCTCTGCTGAGCCAGATAACTGGATTTTAGTGGGATTTATAACTCCATGATTTGTTTTTCAGAAAATTGTAGTGTTTTTATTTTAAACAAGCGTTTCCTCCACAGAGATCTTGGAGGTCTATGCGAGGTGCTTGGCCTTCTTCCTCCTTGTATGCCTCCCTGGTGCCCCGTGCAGCCCCTGCTCCCAGGGCACCGGACCTCTCCAGCCTCAAAAGGTGCAGATTCCTGGGAGATCTGGTGTTGTGTTGTCTAAATGTCAAGCAGCCCAGCTGCCTTTGAGCTCTGCCTCATTAATTAGAGCAATCTCATTTCTTCTCGGTCATCACTGCAGATGTTGCTGCTTAGTTGTCCGTGGGGACTTAAACCCAAATCATGGTGGTGCCAGTCCTTCAAAGCTACCAAAACCAAGCTCTTTGCCAGAGCAGGTGTGCTCTTTTTGCTAAACCATCACTAAAATCCTGGGGGTTGTTCAACGGAAAGTGGAGGAGAGATGCAGCTCTTGGCTTCCCTGCTAGAGCCGTACAGCAGAGATGAAAATGAAATGACCTCTTAGAGGTTCAAGGATGCTTGAACATCTCATTATGCAAGAGAACCTGTCATTGAAGTATCTGAATGCTTGACACAGAATAAACACAGCAAAAAAAAAGGTAGCTAATTCTCCCGGCTGTTTCATATGTAATCTGGGACGAGGTCATTTCTGATGAGTTTCTTTGAGTGAGGAAAGAACTGAACTGGAAATTGGTTGGAGTTGATTTAAACGGTATATCGGGGCCATGGGCTTGCTGCAGCAAAGCTTTTCTCCTCATCCCTTGGACCAAGGTCTGATAAATTGCGAAGTGACATCTTGACTTCTCCATGAAGAGATGCATTTTTTTCCCCCATTTTTCTGCAGGTTGGTATGCGCAGGTATGGACTATTTCCAGCCTCCTCTGCAAGAATGAAGCTACAGTGGGTTACTCATGGTAGCTTCTTGGAGGCTTCTTGTTCAGGTGAAGGTGATACCTGAAGCTCAAGAATTACCTGCTGTAGGTCTCATCTTCAACCAAGATGAGAGCAGGGGAGCACTTTATGAGATGAAGAGTATTGCTTTTGACAACTGGAAGTAGACTTTTCCTAGGTCAGTGCTGAACTCAGTGTGGTGCAGGGAACATAAATGCTGGGAGCTGTGTGTTCTCTGTCAGGATGAGGTGAGCATATTCCAGCATCTCATATCATGTAACTTTTCTATTTGCAGTACCTTATTGATATTCAGTCAATTTTCTTGATTTAATTTCTCTCTTCAACTAATGCAGCTTTCCTTATGTTCTGTTTGTACACGAGACAGCAGTTGGATGTTGCCTGAGATGATTATCTGGGAAAGCTTCCTTTCCTAGTCACATGGGGAAGGCAGGGTGAAAAAGGACCATGCTCTAAGACTTCATGGGCGCCCCTTTATTTTAGGGCTTGCAGCATTTGCTTGGCTCGATTTTTGAGTCTTTTGGAGAGATGTGCATGGGAACAGCTTTGTTCATGGGCAGACACAAGTATTAGGAGTGCTGAAAAGCAGCCTGCTGAATGCTGCTGTTAGGATGGTAATGCAGTTATTGTCTTCTCTGTTTTCTACATCTTAAGATATACCTTTTGATGAGCTTAGGGGAGAAACTGCAGAGAAATTTCCCAAAAAAAACCCACTTCTCTGCTTTCCTAATGGCAGAAATCACTAATAGATTTAAATACATCTCTGACTCCCCGAGCACCTCTATTATGCATGGAAAGAAATAATTAACCTTTCAGAAAATTACTTTTAACGCTCCACTTTGGCTGCATAGACATTAGTTATTTGTTGTATAGGCAAATAACAGCAATAGTATGTAGTAATTTAATATACCTATCCACATAATATTTTTCCTCCCACTGTTTATTTTTAGTGTATTTTCCATTGTTCATGGTGCTTCTTGTTGAAACTACTTGTCCTTACAGCACTGTATTAGGCAGGTTCTGTTCTCTTTCAGCCCTGTTTTGCAAGCAGAAAGGTTTTAGATCAGAATTCACAATCTTTGAGGTTGCTGGCAAACTTTATTGTCTTTGATTAGCTGCAAGCTGTGCTGTCTCTTTTCCCTTCTGAGCAAATGATTAGTGTGGTCAGAATGGGGGCTCTGTTAATGGAGAGATTGGTGGTGGTGTGGAAATGCAGAGGTTCAGGTGTGACTAACTTTGGAGAAAAGGGGTATACAATAAGGCTGCCTACATAATAAGGAAATTTTGAGTATCTAGTAGCAGGGATTGAAAGTAGACAGTTTCAGGCACTTGCAGCCTTCTAGTCTCCTCTAAACCAGAAATCCTAGTTTTGTGTTGTGGTATCTACTGCTGCTTTGGAAGTTACACTCAAAAACTCTGTTCAGTCAAAGCAAGGTAACTGAGCAGCAATGGAGAGAACAAGGCAAATGTTTGAACTTGCAGAGAATCAGAGCCTTTGGGAGCGTGAATTCAGTGGTGTGGACTGTGCAGGTTGGGAGATGGAAAACTCTGCCTGGTGGCCTGTGCCTGTGGGACTCCCAGGGGAAGCAGCTTGCATGGGCGCATAAATCAAAGGTGCTAAAAGGCTATGGTTGTTCAGAGTCCTCCATTTAGTAGTAGCCTGTGTAAAGGAGAGACTGAGGGCAAATAAGCTGAAAAATAACCTTGAGGATGAAACAGTTGCGAGTCTAGATCTAAGTTCTCCCTGCTGTTGGCCCTGCAGCTGTGTCTACCTTGCTGCTTGTGCCACTCCAGATGTGAAGCAAAAGTATTGAAAATAGCTGCTGACATTTTATTTTTAAATTGAAAGAAAATATTCTAACTAGTGAGGTCAAAACTGGAATATGTTACCTCTTGCTTTCTGTTGGAAAATGATAGATTAAAACAGCTTTGTAGACTTCAGTCATCCCCTAAATGTTCAGGTAGCATTTGTTAGAGGCTCTACTAAGCAAAAGCTCTATTGAATTTGGACAGCCTCTTTGTATCCTGCCAAAGTTTGATCTTTGTATTTAATTCACTAGGGAGCAGGAATTTCTTTGGAAGACATTCAGAAATAACTGTAATACAACATCCACAGTCTATATATTGGGTGAGCACAGAAGAAAAACACTTAAATCAGGTCATTACTGCAGGGTGAGGATTATCTGGAAAACTGAAAGAAATAAAGCTCTCAAAAGGCTGTGGGAGAAGATGTGCTTTGTCAGTCTTCTTGTCTCCCTGCCTACCAGCCTACATTTGGTATCTATCTATAGCTGCTATTAAATATAATTCTTCTAAATCTGGGGTGACAAAAGGCTTGATTTGAAGATAAAAAGCTGAGAAGCTTGATCAAAACTCTGGCATGTTAACTTGAGCCTCCAGCAACACCCATTATTTCCGGTGAGAACAAGGATTAGGTTTCTGACTACAATGGAAATCTTTACTTTACTAGGCCAAGTTTCCTATGGAAGATGGCCAGCCAAACTTTGCTTCGTATATGCAGTGTTTCTCAAAATGCTAGATTAAATAACAATCTAAAGCCCAAGTCTTAATATCTTATGCTGTCTGATGTGGTCTTTTTGAAGTGGAAGTCATTCCCTTCTAATTTTTAATAGAATTGAAAAGATTAACCCTTGTACAAAAGGGAGACTCCATCTTGCTTTGTTGTTGCCAGTGAAGGATTTTAAATATACTTCCATTCTTAGCACAAAACTGGATCACTTGCCGCATAGCATAAAGCAAAAGAACAAAATTGACCTAATATTTTGTTTGAATTCCATACTTGGATACCTAGAGAAGTATCTTGAAGTTGCTAAAAATGAGCTGATCTTTGTTGCTGGGGTAAATGACTAGCAAGGGTTGTTGACTGTCTTTTTTAAGGGATAATCATTTCATCTGCTGTATGTAACTTATGTCTTTGTCAGGCATGGTCTGAAAATAGGAAGGGAAGATGATAATTCTGGAAAGAGCAAAATCCCAAAGGTTTGTGTTAACACCTGGATGCAGATAACTTGCACCCAAGTCAGCAGACATTGACCCTATCTTCAGCTGATGCTCTTAAAAGTGTGTGTGATGGCAATGTCAAGCTGTGTCTCGAGTTATCCATGTATATGTGTTAATGTGCCACCATCCCTTAAGGAAACATCTGGACTGCATATTAGGTAATTTATACGCACACCAAAGTAATTTTGGAGTTGTTCAGCAGTTTCCTTCCACTAGAGAATTACTATAATTCCAATAATTTCCCTTTAATAATGTGTGTCACTTCTCATTAGTGAAGATGTTTGTAGGAGCCCCACTGCAGTGATGAGGGCACCTTCTGGCTTGTGAGGAGACACAGCTATGTGAGATGCTCTTCTAACACAGCAACTTTTGGCTTTCGTGGGGTTTTACAGCTTTATCTGACATTTGAGATGAGCCTCCAGGCCTGATTTCAAGTAAATTTAGTTGTCCCTGAAGCAACACTGCTATACAGAGTAAAAGGAGGTGAATATTTTTACGTTGGTTGCTGTATGACGGTAAGTCCCAGTTCCAAAAATGAACCTACAGATGTTTTTTGGAAGTGGATCGAGGTGTTTGGCTGCAGTGTCTCCCTTTCTGTCAATCGAAGGGCTGTGCAGTGCCATGCAAGTTGGTGGCCTTGTGGCATTGCATGTGGTGTGCTGTTAGGTTCATGAGATCTGTTCAGCTGTGAGGGACACATCAGCAACTTGGGTGTGGGATGACCAGGCAGGTCAGTGGCCTCCCCAAAGCCAGAAATTAACGTGTAAAAATTCATCAGGACAGTATGTAGATGAAAATATATAGTCAAAGAAAAAACCAAATCCAAATGCTCTGAATTCTTCCGAAAGCTGCAGGTGAAAAGAGTTTCTGCTAGCTGAGGAGCCCGCTTGCTTCTGCATCCTGTTTCCTCCTGTATTGAGTCTGACTTTTGGTTGCAGCTGCTCCTCCAAGTGCAGTTCCAGGTACCTATGGGTGTTTTTTGGATACAGCTGAGGTCAGAACCCCATGGGCAATGGGGCAGATGAGCTGTGAGCCCCTGGCCTTGCATGGTCCCACCAGGGCAGTCCCACTACAGAAAGCTCAAAGTGGGCCCAGCCACCTGAACGTGGAGCATGGATATCTGAACATTCACCTCATTTTCCCCAGAAAAAGAAAAATTAGTTGTCATTTTTATACAAAAGCCACAATAATCCAATAGCTCTGGTGCTTGAATGCTAAGCAGAGTTAAAAGTATTTTAGAAATCATATAGTGATAAATATAAATAATAAAATATGTTTGAAATATAGCCGGATAATGATGCTTGAATGCTAAGCAAGGACAAAAGTGTTTTAGAATGTAAGCAGTAGTAAAAAATAAATAAAATATGTTCATAATATAGCTAGGTAATATATGAGCAGTGTCAACTTGATATAATTTTACATAAACTTAGTGAAATTGAAGTCAGAAAAGTCACATTATCTTGTAGCCGCTTTAAGCTATTTCTACTGCTGAGTGAATTTCCAAAAACTTAGCCATCAAATTAGCTGCATTTTGGACAATTTATGATCTTAGCTTCGTTTCCCCCCTGCTGCATTAGACCGTGAGAGCAATCTGTAAAGCTGCCTGTAGCCGCCTCGGATTCTTTTTTCGTGGCAAAGTGACAATAATAACATCCCAGCTGGGGCTCTCTGATGTTCTCGGTTATTAGTTGCAATATTGGCAAGTCGTAGTCCATGGTTTGTTTTAGCTGGCAGCTGAAGTGTTCACTGGGCTTAGAGGGGGCCAAGCAGGTGAAACTACTCTGCTTGCCTTTAATGTACTAAAAAAGGATTAAAAAACATCAGTGGCTGCTTTAGATCTTGAAATTGAAGAAATCTTTATTTTCTTTATGAGATCGAGTATGGAATATCATTTTTTCTATGACAACTGTTATCAAAAGTACAAGTAGATGTTTGTTTTAGGGCAGATGTCTCCAAATGAGCTTCTGCCGAGTAGTATGTGGGCTTGAATTTGCAATGTCTGCTCCAATATAACGTGTGTCCGCTCCTTTGGAGACTTGGTATCTCTAGCACCCAGGCACATTTGGCAAAAAGCAGGTTTTGGAAAGTCTTATCTGGTTTTTGTAACTGCAGAAATTTCTGCTTTTAGAAGAAAAAAAAAATCGCTTTTCTGCGACTTTCCAGATAAGGCTGTTCCTGGGGCACCGCATCTCCAGGCTGCATCAGTGCTTATCACGATGTGCACCAGCTTTCAAACCTGTGTGTCAGTAAAGTTGTGGACAATCCTCTTTATACAGGATTTTCTGGTCTTAAAATTTTAACTTTCAAATTCCAGCCTGGTCTGCTTCCTCTTATCACTTGTTCCCTGAAGGCTTCCGTGCCTTCTAGGCTCTATCAATGACCCGCTTCAAGGCTGCTTTGAAGTTGCAGATATGTAGCTCAAGGATTATTTTGTTACTCTGGAATGCTTTTTCTTTGCGTGTTTGCAGCCAAGGAGTCAAGCTTGTGTTAAATAGTGGTCGATTTTAAGCTGACTGGCCCTCTATGCTCTTATTTGTTGAGGAATGAAAACCTCGAGCAGTGCTTACTGCTCAAACTTGCACTCTTCCTATTCAGATTCCTCCCAAGGGGCAGCCAGCTCTGGGAGGTCTTCCAAAAAAAAAAAAAAAAAAAGAGGTGAAGCGAATCTGCCTCCTTCCTCTAGATCCTTCACTGCTCCTGCATTCCTCCTTGTGGTTACGAACCACAGGCTATTTGTGTTCCAAGCTTCAGAAAGCCTTCAATGCTTAAAGAATAATGTCAACTTTGTTACCCTCCATCACCAGAAGATTGCCTGGTAACCATTGCATGCCATTGTGCCACTGCATATTTTCTCTTTGTAGATCTACTCTTGCACCTTGAAAAGCAAACGTGATGACTGCTGACCATATGTGCACTTGGTTTTAACTCCCTGCCTTTGCCTGGTCTACCCTCAGCTTCAAAGAAATATGGAAAAGCAGCCCAAGCAGTTGGGCACACTCTATAGTCATTGTGTTGCTCTGAAAATTGTATCCCTTCTATTCCTTGCTGTTCTAGTTTTTGTTCTCCTGCTGTGTAGTTTTTTGTGTCTGCCAATTACAGAGATGGCCTAGGCTCAATTTGTCACTCTTCTAACTTCATCTGTGTCAGGCAGGGAAAAGCAGGCTGTGTTTTGGCAATGTAGGTATATTTTAAGAGCAGCGGGCTGACTTAGTTGCAGAGGAAATAAAGTGCTGGGGAGAGGTGGCCAATTTTGTCCTCCTGCATTGCTTCCTGAAAGAGAAGCAACAGGGTTTCTAATTGATTAGATTAAATAATAAATGAAACCTCTGCTAAGTAAGCAGCATTTCCAGGCCAGGTACCTTCTCTTCTGTGCATGTGAGTGGAAAGGCTCTAGGCAGTGTGTGACACTGGGATGCTTGTCCACCCATGTGTAGTATCTTCACTAACTGGGAGGGCTCAAAAATGCTCAGCCTTTTTCCTTATCTTTAGTCAAGGGTTGTTCTCAGTGCAGAGGATGTATATGCAAAGTTTAAGGCCAAATTTTCAAATTTGCAGACTCTAAGAGCAGAGGTTCTTTTCCAGGCATGGACTGTCTGCAGGCAGAAACCTCTGAAAACCTGCCTGGAGAGGGGATTAGAAGAAGCATTTGCAAATGAGTAGCCCATGTGGAGCTTGCTAGTGAAACTGCTGCAAGTCAATATGTGGGTGGCTAGTGCCCAGGAGGTCTTTATTAAAGCCCTACCTTGTCATTCTTTTGCTTGCTAGTGGCTCTGCCAAGAAGCACCCAGCAAGCTGTAGCCCGTATGGCTGGGCAGATGGACTTGGTGTGTCATCAAGTCCCTTTAAAAGGAAAGGCACAACATTAAGGTGACACAGTCCTTGTGTGGTTAAACAGTAGACAGCTGAAGCAAAATGTATCTTGTGTTTGGTGGCTACTATATTGCGTTGTTTTCCAGATTTTGAAGGTCCACTGCCTAGAAGAGTTCTAGTTGGATGGAGATGGTAAAAGCTACTCTGGGGCTGTTCCTTCTAGCCTTGGTATATGTCCATGTGGCTTATGACCCTTAATGAGCATCTTGCATCATCTGGACACACTATCGGCAAAAGGCTCTGCCTGCATGTGCAGCTCTGCTGCCACGATGCGATCCTGCTCTGTTTTGTGGGCCTGGGGCTGTCCCCCACCTCAAGGTCCCTTTGCTGCACAAGCTTGTCTTGAGTATGGGTGACTGCTGGCCTGTGTCCCTAATGCCTGCTGTGTTGCTGCTTGCAGATGATGGGAAGCTGTCCCTGGAGGAATTTCAAGCCTTTTTTTCTGATGGGACCCTCAATGAGGAGGAACTGGAGAAGCTCTTTCACACCATTGACTCAGATAATACCAAGTAAGTGGCTCACACAGGCTCTCCTCTTCCATGTTTTCAGGCCATGTCACGCTATGAAATTAAGGAAACAAACCCATTTGCCACTAATGTTAACTTCCCTGGTTTAAAATTTCATGGCTCTGTACCCGTCTCTGCCACATACCCCTCACCACTCTCTCTGACCATGTTTCTCTTTGGGATCTGAGATGTTTGTGAAGTCCTTGACACCCACGTAGTGCTGAAGTGGCTTGTGATGAAGGCAAAGCACGGGGTCCCTGGTGTCCTGCTGGGTCCCCTGCCAGTAAGTAGCAGCTGCGCGTGGGCACGGACGTCAAGGACGGAGCCCGTGAGCTTTTCTTCTTTCTGAGAGGAGCCAGTCTTCAAAAGCGTGAATAGTGAGGCTGTTTGAAAATACAAATTAAAGTCAGCTTTGAGTCATATTCTAATATGATAATTCCTCTAGAGAGAAAATATCTGTCCAAAACAGCACATGAAAAGAGAATCCAGTTTCAAATGAGAAGTTGCTCAGTAAATGCTTAAAAAAATAATAGCCTGGTTGGTTCCCTGGTTGCCTTCTGATACCAGAGAAACTGAGGCTGACCTGGGTGAATCCTGGGCTGCATAGTGGGACTACATAGTGGGACTCCATAGACTTGTTCCCAGATTGTAGGAACAGTCATCTAATTTTATTCCAAAACTAGTTTGAATTTCTTTATTTTTCTGAAAATTGAGTGCTTACCATATTCACATTTGTGGGACAGTCTGAAGCAGAGCTACCCAAAGACTTCGAGTATCTTCTGAGAATGTGCCTCTACTAAATGTTGTGTGATGTTGTATGTAGAAAACACATTGCAGAAGAGACTGAGCTGCACATTTTGTTATGTTGTCTTCTTGACCAGGATGGTTGGTCTGCCATGGCTCTGCTGGAAGCACGAAGTGCAATGCAGGACACGTTGCTGTAGCAATAAATCAAAGAGCAATACAGGTGTTATACTTAGCACGAAGTGCAATGCAGGACATGTTGCTGTAGCAATAAATCAAAGAGCAATGCAACCTCTGGGGTTAGAAAGTGGAAATATTTGCAAATATTTTTATGTGTGTATGTGAAATAGTCAGATGTAGAATCTATCAGGATGTTCCTCCTTGAGCTTCTCTTCATAGCGCCAGCTGTGTGGGAACAGACTGGACTGGCTGAGGTTGGAATTAGGGATGTAAAGCAGCTCTGTGATGACCAGGACTCTGCTTAGCAGCTCCTGCATGTGGGCAGTCCTGGCAATTGAGTCATGTTTTAATTTTGCTAAGTTGGCTTCATCTCATCATCAATACCCATTAAGTTTCCCTACTTCCACAGAGCTGTGGAGCATCTGCTGTTCTTGGCTGGAAGAAAAAGCAATGAGTTGGTCATGCTTCCAAGTTACGTCTTTGCATGAATTGGCCCTTGTTTATTGATTCAGAAAGCATAGGCCCCCACAGCAAGCTTATCAAATTGGAAGAAGAAAATATTCCTCATTTTTTATCTTGATCTCCAGAAAACCTACTTCATTGTGCGTCTTAAACAAAAGTATACTTGTGAATTTTGCTATAAATTGAATGGAGATGAAAATAAACACCTCAACATACTTTTTGCTGGGCTGTAGATCTGAAGCTGGTGGTAGGCTGGTAGGAAACTCCCTTGTCCCACGCTGTTTTCCTCTAGTCAGTTCCTGCTATTTCCTAAATGGTTTCTACTGACTTCACTTAAGACTTGCATAGATTATTGACCTGCTCATAATTAGCAGGGAGTTTTACACAGGGCAATTAAATGACGGACCGCAATATCATGCAAGTGCCCTCTTTTCTTTCACATTTTCCATTTTACAGTGGAAAGTGGGGACAAAATCTAGTTTCTTTCCAAAGGCTGTTTGAATTAGAATTGCTTGCTCATAAAAAGAGGAAGTTTATTTTTAAGGCTGGTTTTGATATTCCTTTTTTCTGTGCACTTTTCTCTGTGTTCATCATGTTTTCTTAGTGGGCAAAATAGTTTGCTATTGAAATTGCATTACAGCTGGAGTAGCTCTAGATGAAGAAAATTATGCTCCTGTTGATTATTAATAATTGCTTTAACCTGCTAAATTACAAAATGCTGATTCAATTTTGCAGAGTATTTTTAGGAACAGTCTTACTGGAGTAGGCAAAGTGAATGTCTATATTAGCTTTTTGATTTGCTCTACCTGGGGAGATGGTGAGAAGGAAGAAACATGGGCTGCTGGAGGGAAAAGGAGGATTGGTTTAATGATGCAGAAGTATCGTAGCTGTGTTTTGCTTTCTAGAACGGCAGTCTCTTAGCAAAGTATCTTGTCAATAAGGTGCAATAAGTGGGATGCTTCACAGAAATGAGATGTTCAAAAATAGCCTGGGCTCATTAATGAAGCCTGTTCTTTCTTCCTAACTGCATGGAAAGTGTTTGGAGGAGGTTAATGATGTGGCATGTTGGGCAAGGACTGCTACCACGGCAGTGACGTATGAACATATGTAGCTATGGGACAGCACTAGTGCTATTGCTGCAGACCTGAAACTCATTTAGTGTATTAGTGCTTCCCAAGATTAGTCTTCTCCTGAAGCCACCTGAGAATCCTTAGCTAACATAGGTCCTGTCTGATGCTCCTTCTTTTCTTAAGAAAAGTCTCATAGCTGCAATGATGTTGGAAAGCTAGAGGAGGCTCCTTGTAGTACATGGATTGTGCTATAACCCCCATGATTGCTAGTTATTTCATCTGGCAGCAAAAATGTTTAAAGACTGTCATGTATTTCAGTAGTTTTTGGCAACATCATTCAAAGACCTTGCTTAAAAGTTGTAATAAAGTGATATTTTCTCTCCATCACTAATGCCAGTGGCCCTGCTTCCCTCCTTCCTGCCTAAAGCATGAAGCCAAAGAAGGAGCTCAATGGGTGTCTTTCTACCATTGTTTTTAACTGATTTTTTTCCAGAGGTTTCAGCAGGGCGTTATGGGAAAGCTTCCTGAAGAGTGATGGGGTGGTAATGATACAGTGCTAATAATATCAGTGATACTGCAATTGTGTGAATTATATATCAACACACATGCATTTATGTGTGGGTGTGTATATATATATTTGGTTTCATGGCAAAGTAGGGCTTTAGAAAACTTCAATTTTTCACCTGGAAAGTTGTATTTGTAGAATAATTTAACCACTTTCTTACCTTTTCCAAAGATACCAATCAATTTTAGAAGGAAAATGTCGTGGAAAACTGTAAGTTTTAAAAAGCTGCAGTTTCAAGGATGATGGGCTGAAATATTCATGAGGTGTGGACTGATTAAATTTGTTTTTTGACACCCACATTTCTGAGTTTTTTCCAGTTCCTTGAAACAGTATTTATAACCCTGCCCTTGAGCGCATGGTAAGTGGGCTGCAGTGGGAAAAGGTGGCTCCAGGGATGTGTGCTGGGGGCAGCCCCCAGTGGGATGCTCAAGCAAACCACCATGTCTGCTTGCTATGTCTTGGGCTGACAGCGCTGACCCTAAGCCAGCAGGTCAGTGTTCACAGGAGTCTTTGGGTAAATATTCAGCTGAATAAGTCTGCAGATGGTGCTTTACCCCTGGAAGCTTTTGCTGGCATAAGCTGTGCCCACCCTGTGTTTTGCTGGCTTAGGATATGGATGTCCTTGCAGTGGCCAAACAGTGGGATGCAGACAGCGCTTGTGCAGGTGTACACATGTGTGTATGTGCATGAGTGTTTGTGAAGCGGTGCTGCAAAATATGAGCCTGTGAGATTATGGTTTGCTCGTCGAAGCCTATCAGCCCTTCAGGAGCCTGAGGACAGTGTGTGGCAGGATCACCTCTGCTGCTGGCTGTTTCCTCCAAAAAGACTCCACCTCCAGACTGTGTTCTTTTGCTTTCTGGCTTGTTTCAGAGTAACTAAGTAGTTTTGCAGGAGTCCTCCAACTCACAGTGTTGTTCAGACCTCCCCCTGCCTGTGGCATGCCCACTTGCCACACTGATGGCCCAGCTGGGAAGACAACAGTCACTAGTCATGGCTTGCCAAGAAAGAACAGGGCTTTGCATCCCCTTGTCAAGATGAGAAAGTGAAAGCCTTTCAGTCCTTGGGAAAGGAGGAGGTCAGACACGGCTGTTGACCAAACTAATTTAGTCCTAGCAAGGGATTTTAAAAACTCCTTTTGTATCTCATACATTTTTCATAGCTGCAGAGGACAAACCTTTGGGGAGAGATCTGCTCACTGGAGCAAGACTTCTGAGCTGAGCTGTACATGTCCACGAAGAACTCGGCATTAGCATTCGACTGCATTGTCATTTATTATCTCAGCTAGGCTCATAGCTATTATTTTAATTACTTTATTTTCACCCCCTCTCTCCAAGTGAGCTCTTCTCTCCAGTGGCAAATACTAGGAACGACTCGAACTTGCATGTAGTATAATTAAGAGAAGTAGCATTCATTCTCAGCTCTTAGCAGTTCCCACAGACTGTCACTTTTGCTGGAGGATTGTCACAAACGGAGAATGGAGAACAACTGGGTTTTTCAGCATGTGAAAATTCACCAGGCTGTGATCTTCTGCACTCCATGGATGTCGTGCTGGGCTGTATCCTCAAGGGAGCAAGAATGGGAGATATATAGGAGATATGACTGGGTGCTGTTGAGTATGGAACAGCCACCTTTCTGAAAATATGGAACCAGATTCTTCCCCCAGCATGAATATTCAGAAACCACTGAGAGCTATATAATAAATGAGAATAATCTGGGTGTACTCTGCAGCACAGGAGGTGCAGGGGGACGGGATGTGATGGGGCATAATCGAGGCAGCAAAGAACATCAGTAATTTGTCCTGCGTAGGAGGTAGTGGAGGCCAAGCTGTGTGGGGGGCTGCAGGGAGGGAGCTGCAGCGAGGGGGCTGTGTGACGATGCTGGTGAAGTGGCACTAATTAGTCCTGCTGAGCAGTGGAGCCCGTTAGCCCGGGCGGTGCTGTGCCAGTGCAGCTGTGCTGCTTCCCGGGCTCGGCTTAGCTTGAGCAGCTCGGTGT